CTCAGACAGGATGGTAGTAAAATCCCCCTCCACCCAAGTTTCTTCCTTTTTGGCAGCCCAAGGAAAGAGCTATTTACAATATAGGTCTTCCTCCCAATCACAGCTGTCTCATTAGGTTTTTCTGAAACAGTAAGTACCCAAAGGGCTGCTCACTAACAAACAAAAAGTAGAATACAATGTGCCAAGAGAACCAGAAAAAAAAAACAGCGAAAAATTGTCCAGGAGATTCCTAAACAAGGTCTAACCTCTACAGAAATGCAGAAATGCAATAGCTGCCCTTGACTTGCAGAACAAACCCTCAGACTAATCTTGATAGGACTTAGAGCAGTCACAGCAATCCTGCATGAAGAAACCTTAGAACCTAGGTTAAGAGCCGAAGCTTTGCAGTTAGCTGATCTAACTTCAAAACTCGCCTCTGCCACTTGTCAGTTGTGTGACCTTGGACAAGTTACTAATCATTCAAACTACCATCTCTGTTTCCATAAGTTCTACTGTGATAGGATCCCTAGGACTTAAATGGCCCAAGGAAACTAGAACTAAACTGGTGAGCCAGTTTAATAGCATTATGGTTGAAAGGCCTAAGATGTGTCATAGCACCCCAAGTGCATGAACACAGCAAGCCTCGTCTTCTGTGCCTCAGAAGCAGCTATGTTTTGTGATGGCATCTAAAGACATTGGAGAAGGCAAGGAAGAATATGACTGATAAGAACCTGTGACTTCTGAATCCACCTCAAACACCTCTCTCAACTCACGTAAAAACTGACTATACATTGACACATGGCAGGCAGCATGCTGGACCTCGAAGTACTGATGAATAAAAACAGGCCATACAGACAGAGCCCACGCTCTACAATGAAGACAGGTGCTAAATGAGGTCCTGCTCTATGTGGAAAAACAGATATGAGAAGACAAAGCTTCTGCCCTCATGGAGCTTGAATTCTAGAGGAAGGGAAAGTGAGCGAATAAACAAATAAGCAGATAATATGATTCCAGGTAGTGATTAAGTGCTATAAAGAAACAAAAACAGCAAATAAAGCAAAGTAAGGGGATAAAATATGACAGGGTGATACTTTACGGTCCTCAAGAAAGACCTCTTTTAAGAAGGTGACCTTTGAGAAGAGAGCTGAACAAAATGTGAGTGTCTGAGAGAGACAGGCAGAGAGAGCATCAAATGCAAAAGCCCCAATAAAGAACACACTTGACACAGGCTGGAGTGCAAGGAGGAACAGAGAGCTCTTCCTGCATGGATCAGACTTAGAAAGGATACCGAAGTGAGTTCAGGTCAACAAGTGTCCACTGAGCATCTACTATGTGCCAGGCTCTGAGGGAAGATGCACAATTCATGCTGAAGGAAAGGGAAGCACTTTCAAACAAGAGGAAGACGCAAGACTCTGAAGTCCAAATCACGATGATCAGACATTAGATCTTAAAAGAGAACCAGGATTCCTCTGACCTGATTTAAAACATCCGTAGATTTAAAACCCATGTTTAAATCTACATATAACTCCTCCGATCTAGCAAAACTCAGGCAAAAACTTGGGGTAAAATTGCTTAAAGTCTCTGTAAAGATAAATAAAAACAGCAGAAAATATACTGAGGCACTTATTCTGTTCAGCACAGAAAATGGCCCAGCTCAAATGTCCCCTGATCCACAATACCTTTCCTGACTGAATTGGCCAATATTAATTTCACTCTCCTCAGATTTTCCAGATCATCTGCTGCACCTTACCACAGCATTTATCATATCTGGCCTTGAACCACAGTGAATTCTTTATGCTGCTCACCCATACTACGTAGCTTAAGACCTTTAGGGGAATTCCTCATGTTTCCAAGAGCACAACACTATGCAAGGAATTGGCCCAGGGCCACTAGTGTGCAACATCTAACATTCTGGTTTTACCAACCAGCTACCCCGGTGTGACCTGATCGCTATACAGTATAAAAAACCTGCTACACTGGATCCAGTGGCACCAATCTCTTGATGGGACATATAAGAATACTGCATTGTTTAGATAAAACACAGAGACAGAAGAACCATAAGTTGAAACCAAAGTACCCAGCCCACTTTCATCCGTGACTACTCTGTGCAGTCAAATTTCGGGATCAGCTCTTAGCTGGCAGTAAACTTGCTTCATGTGTTTGCCCAGCTACTTAACTTACTTTACACAGATAAATAATGACATCTCAATGGTGAAGGCCTTTTGGGGTTGAGATAATTGGGTGTTCTGTTGACTTCTTGAATTCCATGGTCCAGCTCATTCCTTAGATTTGGGAAATTCTCATCAGCTATTTGTCTGAAAATACTTTCTAGTCTCTGTTCCTTTTCCTTGCCTTTGATAATGCCCATTATTCTTATATTTCCTCTCCTGATGGTATCAGCTAGTTCTTGAATTTCTCTTTCATTATTTTTCATTCTTCGGTTTTTCTTTTCTTCCTTCTGATTTATTTCTAGATTTCTGTCTTCGATATCACTGATCCTTTCCTCTATTTGGTCAACTCTATTTCCCAAGCTTGCTATTTCAGTTTTCAACTCTTGCAGTTTGTTCCTCATCTCTAGAAGTTCTATTTGGTTCTTTTTCAGGGTTTCAGTCTCCTTGCTCTGCTCATCTAGTTGTTTTTTCAATTCCTGAAATAGTTGATATGACTCGTTTCAGAATTCACTGAGTTTTTTCAGAAGTACCATCCTGAATTCTCTGTCATTTAAGTTGCATATTTCTATCTCTGTAAGCTTATTTTTGCCTTCTTTCTGAGATGCCTTGTCACCTTGGTCATGGACTATTTATGGACTATTTCTCCGCCTGAGCATTAATGGGAATGTATTCTGCTTTTTTTTTTCCCCCCAAGAAAGAAGATTTATTATATAAAGGTCTCTCTTTAGCCTTTTGCAAAGAAAGCATTTTACTTTTGGTTTCCAGTAGGTGGCATCTAAGCCTCTTGGATCCCTACTATATATAAAGTCTTAAAAATGCCTTTTTATTTTCTGATAGATATTTAATCACACTAACTACTCTCAGTTTCAGTCTCTGTCAGTGTCAGCGACATTCTCGGCAGCGTTTGCTCAGATTTCCCTGGGACTCTGCGGTATTTGGTCTCGGAGGATATAGGAGGAGGGGCCCTCTGGGTTAGGGGTTGGAGGCTGCAGCTCAGCCTCGGTTTTGCAACCATGGCCAGTTTTTCTGTTGTCCCCGCTTTTCTGACGTCCCCGCTTTTCTGCCATCCCCATTTCTCTGTCTTCTGACCTCATGACTGGACATGGCCCCGTGGAGCTCACAGCACTCTCAGGCAGGGCTGTTCAGGGAACTCTCTGCACCTTCTCCCCTCTCCCTCCTCCTGCAGGGAGCTCCAGTGGCTTCGAGAGGCAACTTCTTTATTTCTCCAAGTCTACCTCCAGACACCCAGGGTTCTGACCTGTGGTAGCTCTTATGCGTAGATCCCATGCTCAGAGGTGCTGGTGTGAAGTTTGGGTGTTTTTTTGTTCCGTTTTAGCTGTTCAGCTTATTGTTGTTTCAAGGGGAGGGATCTGGGGATATCTCTCACTCTGCCATGTTTCCAAAGATCATGTTTCTTTTTTCTCCTTAACTTTGTATTGTAATCTCTATTCAGTTTTATTACATAGTAATATAACTGGTATATGAAATTCTACTATGTGTTTATACCTTAGTTATCATAATAACTTCTCTACTGATAGACTTTTATTGTTATAAATAACACCACTTCCAACATCCAGGCATAAAGGCTTTTGACCCAGATGGTTTTACTGGTGATTCTTTATAATTTTAATGCTCTGTGTCATTCATTCCTGAGTATAGAAATGAGTAAATAGCTACCCAGCTGATCATGACCCAAACCTAACACTAATACAATCCAATAGAAATAGCACAAAAAGCAAAAACTTTTGACCAACCTAACTTATGAATACAGATGTGAAAATCCTAAATTAAATACTCTTAAGTAGAATTCACCAACATGGTCATAATAGAGAAAGGCCAAATAAGGTTTTTGTTTTATTTCAGGAATAAAAGAATGGCTCAATATTAAGAAACCTATTGATAACAACATATTAGTTGGTTAAATGTGAAAAACTATGATTATTTCTATAGGTGCAGAAAATGCATTTAAATGAAACAGCTGTTTTTAATAATACTTTAAACGGGAAAAAAATAAGATACTTCCTTTATATATTACAGAGTCTTTCTCAAACCCACTGCCAAAAACATTAAGAAGCATTCTTATTAAAAACAAGGATAAAACAAGGCTGCCCTCTATTACTTAGTAGTATTTTAGAAGCTTTGGCCAATGCAGTAAGGTGTGAAACAGAAATCAGAATTAAGGCTTTGAGGATTAAATAAGATAACATTTCAACCTTCCTAGATGGTATTTTTTGATTCAAATAAGGCACTTAAATTGTATATTTTTGTTGTTATTTTTTGTTATCAATAAGACATTCACAAAGGAAAAATTGTCTCGCATCTTAATACAGCTGGCTTGATGTTTTTATGAATATGGTTTTCTTGATCTTGGTCCTGTGGTTGAAGCATCATGATTATCTATCTGGTCTGTGTGAAGGTCTCTCTCAAACCTTCAGTCACCAGCATAGAGGTGGATGCTCAATACCTGTAACTGGCTGAGTGGTTTGGTTCAGTGATATTTTTGACGACCTTTCACTGAGCTGTTCTTATGATCCTGAGAGTATTCAGAGGCATGAGTCCCAGACTGAGTGATTAATGAAGTTACAGATGAGGAGAAAGGTACAGAAGAACACACTCTTAAATGATGACACTGTTGTCTTGACATTTGACTCCTTGTTCAGCAAACCACTGTGTACCCTCATACTATACATTTGTGTGGTAAATTGCTGCTATCCTTTGTCAGAAGTCATGTGAAAATAATCAGTTTGGTTAAACATCACACAGTTCTTTTCCAAACAGCTTGCTGTCTCTAAATTTGGTTTGTGACTTAGGTGTTTTTTGTTTTGTTTTGTTTTGTTTTCTTCTCTATAGCATCTGGAGAGGGCCAAATGTGAACTGTGTTGACAGCACTGGGTATACACCTCTGCACCATGCTGCTTTGAATGGCCATAAGTAAGTATTGATGTGCTACATTCTTGCCCCACTGCCCCACCCTTCAGAACTCAGGCCTTAGGATTGTCTTTTTGTGCTGAGGAACAGAGAAGAATGAACTAAATTTAGTCCATCCAGAATTCCTGAGTCTCTCTTCAGTGTATAACTTAAACATCCTTCCCACCCCACCTCCAAAAACACTTTAACCAGAGGTTAAGTTTTACCTTTTCTTCTGTTTGTCCTTTTCCCCTCTGAAGTGGTGCAGTGCCACACAATCATCTCACTATGAAGATCAAATTTGGGGCAGCTAGATCATAAAGGGGCTGAATAATCTCTTAGGTAACCAGTTCTTTTATAAACTGAAAATAGATTGAGTGGTTGTAAGAAACTTTTTTTCTGTTAAAGTAGTTATTTGTTCTTTTTGCTTGCCATTTTTTTTTCCCCCAAATAAAATTAGCTTTGTAGACAACAAGAACCATTTTTAAGGGGAGAAATACATAAATACTATGGCCTATTTAATTCTCTTAAATATAGAGAGGTTATTGGGAATTGGGTGGGATTCGTATGGAAAGTTTTCTGGAGAAGGTGTGCTTTGGGAGAGTTTAAGAGGAGGCATAAGTTTAAATGATTGCAGCTGAAAAAGGATACTGCCCTTCAAGTGAGGGAGAATATGATGGCTCAGCAACGAGGCAGGCACTCTTGTGGAGTACAGTGAGTAGATTTGCCAGGATGTTGAAGAATAGAAACCAGAGTGTAACAGAATTGAAGGTATTAAAGAGAGATTGAGGCTTAATACTATAAGAGATAAGCGGTAGAAGTTTAGTTTTTGTGAGGAGGGATTATTGGAACCATTTTAGATTTTTCTGAGCAAGGAGCAGGGCCCTCACCTGACCTTGTGATATTCTGTACAATATTTGGCTCAGCCTAATTGGCTTCAATGTGCCAAAAAGAGGCGATTGTTACCTTCTACACTAAACTTTTCTAAAATATATTAAATGTGATCATTATGTATTTTCTATAGCTATTTTAGACAAAGCTAACAAGAAACATGTAGAGACCCTGTCTCCCTTAAATAGTGGTGTAATCTGAATTAAAGTGAACCTTGAACTTAAAAAAGACTGTACTTGTTAGCCAAGTTGATGTCCAGATGCTGTTTTTATTTACAGTGGGGATTTTCTTTGACCTCACGTACATGGGGATAATTATACATTTGTATCTGCTTAATTAGTGGTGTCATGAAGAAGAAAGCCAAGCCCTTCTTCCTGGATGTATCCAATGATACCATATGTGTCTGGCTGATGTTCGCGACAACTTTAATTCTGCTCTGCCTGTCCACCTTCAGCTCCCACATCACTAAATGCTCTGAATAATGTGGTGAATAATTATATTTGTCTTGCATGACTTCTTTTATGTAAATTATATCCCTGAATGCTGTTTAAACATCACAAACAAGGAAACACTGCAAGATTTAGACAAGGAGACCAGACGTTTTGAAAATAATGGAAAATGGATGGATTATCCAGAAAGCCTAGATAAACTGGGAGGTGAAGTGTCATTGTAGTGTGATTCAGCCCCATAGCTCATGGAATAAAAGGAAGAGGCTGGGCCACGAGCTCTGGTAGAGATAGGGGAGCCAAATAAGATAATAGCTGTGAAGGGGTTTTGTGCTATACATATGTAAAGAGCTGTTAGTTGGAAAGACTTCTGAGCACTGCAAAGTCATTATTAATTTTTTTTTTTTTTTTTTTGCCTTCTAGGGATGTGGTTGAGGTTCTTCTGAGGAACGATGCGCTGACCAACGTGGCTGATTCTAAAGGCTGTTACCCTCTGCACTTAGCAGCCTGGAAAGGAGATGCCCAGATAGTGCGGTTACTCATCCATCAAGGGCCCTCACACACCAAAGTCAATGAACAGGTCGGAAGGAAGAGAAGCTTTCTTCCATTTAGCTGTAGCCAAGACCCCAGCAACCCCGTCACTGCCTTCATCCCACTGCTGACGTCTCAGGGAACCAATTCTTCCATACCCTAAGAGGATTCCCCTCTTCTCAGCACTACTCCTCTTGGTGCATCAGGGAGGCTTTACTCCGTGAGGATGCATTTATATGCATTTGAATCATGGATATTTGGAATAGTACTATAATAAAAATACGAATACTAACCTCTTGTGCAAAATTTGAAATAACACAGATCCTGCAAAATTGCTTAGAGTCCATTTCAAGCTGGGGGGCTTAATTAATTCCCATTTGTGCTTATGCCATTAGCCTGGTAATGCAGCTTTAGCTCCTGATGCATGCCATACTGTGTGAACCATGCTGTTGTTTTACATGCATCAGAACTTGCAGAAGTGGAAGTACTCAGCTGGTGCTGAAAAGTGAGCTCACAAAAACGTGAGTGGAGGTCAGGAGGGATTCAACAGAATGAAGATCATTTCCACAGTGTCCTCTAATGTTAATATAAGAGTGACCATGCTTTGACAAAGCAGAGATAATTTTTAGCAAATAAAAAAGGCAGCATTGGAGTAAAAATACCTTGCAATGGCCATGGACTTAGGCACTCTTGAGTCTATACTTTCTCTTCTTTACATTTATTACTTTGGAAAAGTTATACTTGAATTATGCACATTCTAGACAAGCCTCTTATAAAATACAACTCCATGTAGTTTGGATCTGAGAGGAGATGGGCTTTCCTTATATGATAAGCCATTCTCCTATCTTCCTCTCTGCTCTGAACTGAAGCAGGTACTTTTCTAAGTTGCTTGAATAAGAGAGATGTCATGCTTTCTCACCAAGTTTAGGACTTTTCCTAATGACTTTGCTGAGAGGAGATTGTTAAATTACCTGTAGAATTAGATCAGGGTTATTCCTCAAAAATTGGGGAAATCTTTCTTGCAAGTCCATCTGTCAGAGAGACCGTGCACACTCTCAGTGAGCTGTTAGGAGCATGACTTTGAATAAGAGGCGGATAGCATTACTCTGAGGTATGAGAAAATGAAAGCAGTGCTCCAAATGTCCCAATTTAGAGATGACGTGTATATAGCTGTTAATCAGCCTCCCTTTCCTCTGTTGGTTTGTAGTATCTGGATGGGTAAGCAATAGACATTTAAGATCATAAATGAGGATATTTTATAGCATTAGGAATGCAGATGCCTCTTTAGAATGGCCTCTTTAGAATCTAAATGCGATTTACTCCTCCTGGCTAAAGTGACTCTAATTTCTTGTATCTGGAGGAAATTTATAAGGAAGTTTGCTTTTAAGTAATATTCCTCAAGGTTGAAAACACAAGTCACCCATTCAAGTCCTTCTCATTTGAGCAATTTTCAGTAACTGTTTCTAATCCTGTCTTTGCTCACTTTTGCCTTGGAACACAGCTGCTTGGATTTTTGAGCCACCTGAGTATGCTAGCTTGTCCTTCTCACAGCCGCCTCCTGCCTGGCCTATCCATTGATAGTTGGGACAACAGCCCAGTGCTTTGAGTATCTGGCAGGCAGGTGGGTGGGGCAGGGGCTGGGCAGCACGGCTGCAGTAGCTTGAAGAAGCTAATGGATGTAGATAGTAGTGACAGTACTACATTAAAAACCATTGCTGTGGTTCCAGTTAGATGCTCGAATAGGAGGGGGTGATGATTGCCAAGCCCTGTAGATTATCTTCCCCAATAACTTCCTTTAGAGGCACACAGATCCAAGTTCTAGTGTTGGGCCCCCTCAGGGCTGTGCATTGCTTTGATATATTTCATCCATTTTATCATCACATTTTCTTTTCCTCTCCTTTTTGTAGAATGCTCTTGAGATCAAAGAACTCAAAAAGTACGGCCCCTTTGACCCTTATATCAATGCCAAGGTGTGTACTTTGCTGCCAGGATTCCTCTGCATCATTTCTTCAAGCTACACTTTCTCTTTGATCCTCTCTGGCTTCCACTCTTGTCCACTCGGGCTCCTCCTCACCACCCTGACTGTTGTCTGCTTCAGCCCATCTGCCTTTGGCTTGTCTGAGAGTGGGGAGTGGGAAAATGCAGGTTCAGTGGGTTTTGTTTTTGTTTTTAGGATCCATACTAATTCTGGAAAGGTTAGGTGCTTTTTCTGGAATGGCTGAAAAGCTTAGAAGTGGCAGAAGTGGGAAAAAAGGTGGAACCATGCGTGCATAATTTACTATTGTGATTTCTAAAATTTAAATTCAAAAACAATTAAAAGATGTCAAATTAGCTTACTTTTGAGAAGCACAGAAAAATGATTCATTTTTATTTCCTGGATTAAAAAATTATTCTTAGTCTGTCTTCTATGTTTCTTTTGAAGTAAAATCTGATTTTCAATAGCTTGTGGTAATTGTATGGGGGAGAGGGCAGGGTGACTTAAGAGCTGTTGCTTGTGGCTCCCCTCTCATTTCCTTGAGTTTGTGCATTTCTGCCTGGGGCTTTAAAGCCTCTGCCTCTTCTCCCTAGCCACTTAGCCTCTCTCTCTGCTCGGTCACTCTTGGCCCTTGGAAGGACTCTTAAATAGAAAATGAAGTTGCAGGGCCAAGCGGGACACTTCTGTTGCGTCTTGCTGTGAGGCCGGGACTGGTAATATATTGTCTGATAGGCCTGGTGACGAACTGCCCCGCTCTGCTGTGCTCACTGCCCCTCTAGCCTCTACCGCATCGGGCAGCAGAGTATGTGGGTCGGGTGATGGTGTTAGCCTCTTTCCTCAGCGCTCTCACCTGCTGTTTCTGATTCCGAGTTTTCATTCAGATGAGGTTTGCTTTTTGGCAACAATCTGGAGTTTAGTTGAGTCACTGCATTACTCACACTAGCTGCCTTTCACTTGCTCCGAATTCAGCAGCCTTAGGGAAGGGAAATATAAGGTACTTCTGCATGTTTCCAAAAGCAAGGCAGGATGTGAGGGTGCTCTGGCTGCGACATCTTTCACCCCATTGATCGCCAGGGTTGATTCGGCTGATCTGGCTGGCTAGGCGGGTGTCCCCTTCCTCCCTCACCACTCCATGTGCGTCCCTCCCGAAGCTGCACACTCGGTCGAAGAGGACGACCTTCCCTGATAGAAGAGAGTACCATTCTTCGGTCAAGGGTATAGGAGTAGCTGCGCTCCCCTACTAGAACCTCCAAACAAGCTCTCAGAAGCAAGCCAGATATTTTATGTTCTTTGAGAAATCCTGATTTAGCAAATGAAGCCCTTTACTGACTGAACCTAGGCAGGCTCTGTGAAAGATTTTCTTCAGCTGTTGGGCTTCATTGTTGGAGAAACAGTTTGATCTGGGATAGTGGAACACGTTAGCTTTTGTTTTGGCCCACTCTTCAAATTCTGTTTTTTAATCTTCAAAATAGGAAGATACTCTGTTTTAGTTTTCTTCTTTTTTTTTTGAAAGTGACAGAGAACTCTCACAGGTCACTGTCTTTCAAGTGAGACCTGAATGCAAATTCTATGCTATCACTTACTTGGTTTTGTTGACTTGAGTGAGTTTCTTTCTCTCTCTGAGCCTCAGTTTACTATTTAATTTGGTGGATTGTTTTGGAGTTTAAATAGGATAATGTACATAAAGTAAAAATATCTGGTAATTTTAAAAGGAATACATAATGTGATATTTCTGAAATGCATTTTGAAATTTGTTCTTTGTTGCTGGTGGGTGAAACATAATGGAACATTGCTCAATGAGTCTGTTCAGGGTTTTATTTTGGGGGGAAGCACCTCAAAGTGATTGCTTTCCCACTCTGCAGTTAGTTCAGTTAGCTTGTAAAGCTCTGATTAAAGGGTAGGACTTGGGTTCTTGAAAGCACATTTTCCTACCCCTTGATTTTGCACACATAAAAGAAAATTTGTCTAACCAGAATAAGAATATACTTCTCTCCTTGGAAATACTACCCTTTCCCCCCTCCCCCGACCTCCACCCCCAGGGCAACCGATGCTCAACGGATAAAAAGCTGTTTGGGTTGTGCTAAGAATGCAAACTCTTCTTGAGCTGATTTGATCCTGACCTCCCTAGGTATTTTCCTGACCCGACTTAGGGTTTTTATTGACCTGGCTTGTGTTTAGGAATTGCTTTGCTAAAGGACTTTTATGGGCTAAGTAGTAGCAGGCACCTGTGGAAATGGAAGATGTCTCAGATGCCTTCTTGGGGAGTGGAGGTAGTTTTCATGAGCTTTCATTCTTCCTCTTTGACCTGTGGAGCTTTCCTTTTTCACAAGTCAGAATAAATCAGTCCAAACATAAATCATCCTTAGCTAAAGTGGAATCATTAAAATTGTTTTTTACCCTCTAAGTTAAATAATTTTAACTTAATTCGAATAGCATAAGATGAGCAACAATCATATTTGTTTTAGTGTAGATCTATTTTTCTGTACACTTAAAAATTATTCAGTCTTAGAGCTGGAAGAGGCCTGGAAGTTATATAGACCAGTTGTCTCCGCATGTTGCTCAGCTTATCTGGTTGTGTCAGAATACCTAGCAAGCTTTTATAAAACTTTTAATTTGGAGAAAATTTCCAATTTTAATATAAAATCTATGTTCAAATTTCACTAATTGCCTCAGTAATGTCCCCTGGAACAATTTCTTTCTGGTCCAGGATCAAATCCAGGATCATACATAACGTGAGTCAGTTCCTCAGGCGCTCATGACACTGACAATTTTGAAGAGTACAGGCCTGTTGTTTTGTTGACCGTCCCTCAGTTTGAGTTTACCAGATATTGCCTCGATTCAGGTTATACATTTTTGGCAGGGATGCCACAGGAGTAATGTTATGTCCTTTTTAGTGCATCACATCACAAGGCACATGATGTCAGTTTGTCTCATTCTTGATAATGATGAATGATTGCTTGGTTAAGTTGGTACCTGCTAGGTTGGTAAGCTTTCGAATAATAGTTTTCCTGGGCTTTACCTTCTGAGGTGCTATCCTGGCAAGTCTGGGCTAGGACTTAGCTGCTTTTAAGTTCCATGTAATTCCTAAACGAAGCCAGTTTGAGAACCGCTGAGTTAAGCCAACTTTCCACTCAGAGCAGGAGTCTTCTCTCACCTAAAATGTGGGCCATCTATCTCTTATTTTACTTGTTTGTTTATTTCTCCTAGTAACAAACAGAATTATTCTCCTGAGATTCCACCGATTTTTGATTTCTTATGCTTGGTTGACATCTGTCTTTCTAAACCTTCTATCTGTTGGTCAAAGTTCTGCCTTCTAGAACGTTACAGAGTAAGTCTAACTTATTCCACATGAAGGACTCAGTTCTCATGTTTCTCCTGTATCTTCTAAATCTCAGTAGACGTAGTTTGTCCTTTTGTTCCAATTTCGGTATATTTCTATTGCCTATACCATTATCGCTACAGAGGGCTGTAACCCGAGTGTCCCTAACTTAGGTATCTGTCAACAATGGACAGGAGTGCAGTTGGGCTGTAATCTAAGTACTGGGAGGTGATGGTTTTGAATAGTTCCAAGAAGAGAAAAGCCATGGAAATGTTTCTGTATGGTTTTCTGCTGCTTGTAGTGTGTGTGTATGTGTAAATGCATAAATATAATGGATTTAAACATTGAATGAGATCTCTGGATATAAAGGGTGTTGGGGGCTTTTTTTTATTAGAAGTACTGATCATAGTAAGGAAAAATGAAAGTGATCTCAAGATGGGCAAGAATGGAGACTTTGTGAAAGACTTTGGAGAAAATTGGGATATTTCATCTCAGTCCCTTTCCTCAGACCAGATACATAGTAATATGATTCTGGGAACTCTTGAGGTGTTGTGAGCACCTGTGCTGCAATTTGGAAGGTGTGCAAGAGAAGGATTCCAGGTGGCTATGAGTCTGTGCACTCCTTGGAATCCCTCCTCTTCTTGTGGGTCCATGCATCAACGCTTAGTGAGTTCCTGCCCTGATAATTGTCAGGCTCAAAGGGGAAATTGTAGTAAGAGCTCATTGTGATGGCCTGCATTGAATTTGAGAGATGTGCTCACCACAGGCATAAACTCAAGATTATTATAGTGAACAGACTGTATCTGGCAAGAGTGAAACACAAGTAAGATGCTTCCTACACTGCGAATGTGAGCGTAATGTTCTGCAGAGATGTGGTTAGGCCATTTTTAACATAGGTGGAAAATTTGCCTAGTAGTGATCAAGACCTTGCCTTTTTATAGCAAGGCAGCTTTTTGGCAGCTGCCTTAGTTCTGGCAAAAAAACAAACAAACGGAAGACTTTTTTTTCTTGCTGGATAGTGGAATTTTACAGTTCTTCAGGCCCTCATGGTATGCTTTTTACCAAGTCAAGGACAGATTATTCTGGTAGTTGGGAGACAACTTGGATATAAAAGAAACAACAATATCTGTTTCAGAGCAAACAAGGTTTTCTGGATTGGAATTTTAATAAGAATAAGCTGACTTTCTTGGCCCTTGCTGTCATGCTAATCTTGAGATATAAAACCCTGAGAATCCTCTTAAACTTCTTTGGATTGCCACTTGGCCCCAGGATCACTCTACAGAAAGGTCCTGTGAGTTTTCTTTTCATCATGAGAAAGTGAAGTGACAGCTCTTAAGTTTGCTCAGGGTACTCATGCCATAGCTTAATAGGAATTGGGAATTCAAAATGAGTGTCCTAAATGGTTTTTTGGCACAGGAAATCCCAAGGATTTACTTTCTACCTAGCATTTCCCCTTCCCTCCAGACTTTTAAGTTGACATGGAATTTGCTCCTTGGACCGAGTTGTACCACAAGAGGCCGTTGCTAAGTGGCTGTGTCTTTGGCCAGTGAAGGTGTCTGCACTTTCTCAGCTGCTGTTCTCCTGAGTCACGTTTGAACTCAGTGCTGTGTCCTCTGTTTATCTGTGTGCATTTATCTTGCATGTGGCTCCTGCTACCACCTTTCTACCCTTATTTCATTTTTAAAATTTCTTTGCTATCCTTCTGGCCTTTTGGGACCTTGTTCCCAGCAGCTCTGGATCTTCCTGGTACAATTGGTGTAGCTGGAAAAAATGATGCAGTCAAATGCCAGATCAAAAGCAGATGGAATTGCATGCATGCTTGGGTAACTTCTAGTCTGTTATTTTTAATGTCATTAATTGAATTAAATCAATTGTGGAAACATTAATTTTTACCTTTTGACCACTGAAAGGTGCATAATATTGATTTGATGGACAACTCCCCTCGTAAGCTTTGTTTCCCTAAAATAGCAGAAGCCTCCTGAATAAATTCAGGACTCTCAAAATCTTATGAGACAATTATTTTCATTAGTGCTTTTAAAAAGGAAAGGTCATGGAAATCACTTTATTCCTGCTCTAATTATACATTGTCAGTAGTAGTAAAAGAAAGAGCATAATTGGAATAGTTAACAGTTTGCTTTTGATGATTGAAAAACCACAAACTTCTCCTGTTTTATCCCATGTTCTACCTTTAGTTTGAAGCAAAATTGGCATTAAAGGATCATGGGGTTATAAATTCGAATTGATGGCAGTGTTACAATTTTGAATATTTTGCACCTCTCACACAAAACATTCCAGTGTCTGATTGAAGAAGTGCTACCCTGTGCTGTAGATTCTGCATGCATGGATTGGTACAGGCTTCTGGAATAGGCACAGGGCAGCATCAGGGTCCCATATTCCTCTGTGACTGGGCTCAGGTGCCTCCCTCCCCTGGAAATGGCTGTTTGCTGATATCTTGAGAGTGACTTTTGGTGCTCTGCTCTGTTACTTTCATTGTTGGCTGGTTGATTTGCATGCAAATAAAAGCTTGTGTGTGAATCAATGGATGGTCAACAAATGAAGAATCAGAACCACAGGGTTGACTAAATATAAATTATAAAACCAGTTGAAGTTTAAAATGAATCAATGGCAGTGATATTATTGGCATTTGTCTGTGCCAGGGCTTCTACCCAAGACCTGCCACATTCCCTAGATTGCTCTCTTTACAATCTGGAGACACTTCCTTCACAGCACAAAGGAGGCTGCAAATGCTAAGGAGATGACTGCTCCCCTCTTGCAGTAATTGGGGCAAGACGTGGCTGATTAGAGCAGTTGGGCTTGTTCGCAGGGGAGTATGTCTAGATTCAGACTGACTTCTATTAGTCCCCAAGTATTGCTGCTATTTTTCTCATTTAAATTTCATTGGTTTTATGTGTGATTGTCCTAGTCATATGCCAGTCACCGTTCTGATGTGATCTGCTTGTTAACTCTTTAGAACAATGACAACGAGACGGCCCTGCATTGTGCAGCACAGTATGGCCACACGGAGGTGGTGAAGGTCCTCTTAGAGGAGCTAACAGACCCCACCATGCGCAACAACAAATTTGAGACACCTCTGGACCTGGCTGCGCTCTATGGGAGACTGGAGGTGGTGAAGATGCTCCTCAATGCACACCCCAACCTCTTGAGCTGCAACACTAAGAAGCACACCCCTCTGCACTTGGCGGCAAGGAATGGCCACAGAGCTGTGGTCCAGGTGCTCCTGGATGCTGGCATGGATAGCAACTACCAGGTAGCTGGACCAATAGACCTCCCAGGCTCAAGGGACTTAGTCATTTTAGAAAAGGCATAAGTACCATGCTGCTGGGCTGTGTTATTATTTAGCACGTTCCGTATCACATGTCAGATGCTTCCTTCCATTCGTTGACTCATTTTACTGTGAAACTTTAGAGACAAACTCCCCAGTGAGTTTGTTTTTTTTTCTTTTTAGGGTTAAAATATAATCATTATACCCTGAAAAGATGTGATTATGGACAAGCTCTCGAAAATAGAAAGTTTCATTATCTTTCTATACATATGTTCCCACTGCCACCATTTAGCACCTCCAAAATCCCATCAACTTGATTTTGCCAACAGGAGACTTAGCATTTCCTGTGGCTTTTCACTTTTGCTTCATTCAGATGAATGAAAGTCCTTAGGCTTTGCATTGACCAAACCACACTTGAAGTTAAGGTGTTTTTTTTCCCCTTGTACTTTTCTTTTCATTATTCCTTACACCCAGGAAGGTGGAGTTTTGAGGCGTTTTACCAATGGGTGGCTCCAAGAGTAACTACCGTTAGTCACGTGTGGCCTGCTGGTGGCACAGCAAACACCCTCGATGTACAGGCCATGATTGTGGTTTTGGAATCCAGACAAGAAAAATAGGAAAGATAATGACAGGGGACTTTGTGTGGTTTATTTTATTTTCCTGTCCCTTCTTGTCTATGTTCCGTTTGTCGTGTTAAGCCACGCCAAAACTGGGTCACTTTTCTGATGACATGCTGCTCTGCGCTCTCGTTTGCTTTCCAGACGGAGAAGGGCAGTGCTTTGCATGAGGCTGCTTTGTTTGGCAAGACCGATGTGGTACAAATCCTGCTGGCTGCAGGTGAGAGGTCGGCAGCACTCTTGTCTACACAGCATGCCAGGGTTGGGATTGTTTCTCTCTAGCCTCCCTGGAGGGAGATTTTTGCTGGCTGCATTTGAACCCAATGAATGTATGTCTCCACTGATTGCAAATGTATGAATTGTTCATGAATAGCTGGATTAAATGGCTTTGGATGAAAAATGTTGGTCATGCTGCTGGGAGTGTTAGGTGTCCTGGAATTTGACCCTCATTGGGGCTCACTTGAAAATACTCACTCCACTGGTCTACCTGGTGTGCCTTTCTAGGAATTGATGTCAACATAAAAGATAACCGTGGACTGACTGCCCTAGACACTGTCCAAGAACTGCCTTCTCAAAAGAGCCAGCAGATAGCAGCACTTATCGAAGGTATCAGCCCATCTCCCTGTCGGGGTGACCAGAGGACACACTAGCCAAACCAAGGCATTTGCATTTGGTGCAGCTTTTTTTTTTGTTTTTCCATGTAGATCACATGACCGGAAAAAGAAGTGCAAAAGAGGTAGATAAAACTCCCACACCCCAGCCACCTCTCATCTCCAGTATGGACTCCACATCCCAGAAGTCTCAGGGTAAGGTGGCTCTTCTCTGCCAGCAAAGGGGCTCTCGGCTCGAAAAGAGTTGAACGTTCTTTAGCAAAATGGAAAATCTTAATTTAAATAATAATTTCAGGGAGTTAGGGGTACTTAATAAGTTCATATTCAAATTCATTTTTTCCCAACTACTATATGAAGTTTTATTGAATATAGCTTAGGCCTTTGACAGCAGACCTCTTCTTTCCTACTTTATTTTATTCTTTACTTTCACAGTTGGCTCTGTGAGATCTATTTTGGGATGTGTAGTAGACAAGATAATTTCAAGATAAATTCAAATCTCAGTGAAACCTTTTTTTCCTAACACACACTATAGTGTCTTGAGCGTAGTTGGCCCACAGTAAATATTTAATGCGTGTCATCTGGTTGGTAGATGTGCATCTGGAAGATTTTGGTAACATATCATTTGGCTTATAAATTTGGTCTGGGTGCTAGCTTAGGTAGTCCAGCCTCCATAGTACTGCCAGGATCCACCTTTTCAGATTTATTGAGCAGCCTTTTGGGTCCTAGGTGTGATGAATGAGAAAGATAAAATACTGACCGACACCTTCCCCACACACACATCACAATAAAAAAAATCTAGAGAAACAGAACAAAGCCAGACACTAAAATGGAAAAGGATTTTTCTAAGGAGTACAGAAATACAAGGGTTAACGTGTACTCAGTCTGTCTTTACTGTGGAGTACTTGTTCTCTCCCTATCACATTTTTTCTGACCTCATAATCTAATAATGGGATTAGTAATTCACTAAACTATTAGCTTTTAAGGATTTGTTGGTTATAGTTTTGACTATTTGCAGTGACCCAGAGATCCCTGTTCTATAACAGTTGGTAATTTTGCAGTCATAAGCTTGGATCCCAGATACTCTGAGGTTTGTAGTTACCTAGTGAGTGAGTCTAACAGCTGTTCAGTGCCTCTGTCTCAGAAAGGCTTCGTCATCCTCTATTTTGCTTGAGCACATGGAGGCTCTTATCAAGAATTTTAAGGATTACTTAAGTAGTTTAGTTGTACTTTGCTACATTTTATGGTTTAAGTTTATGCTATCATGGTGTTGAGGTATTTGGGAATTTGGATTGTCGCAGTGGTTGGAAACTTGAGATTGTGCTCTACTTTCATTGACTCTTCTCTAACCGCCTCTCCAGGTGACGTGGAGAAATCAGTGACTGAACTGATCATCGATTTTGACACAAATGCTGAAGAGGAGGATCCCTATGAGGCGCTGTGCAATGCTGTCTCCTGTCATTCCTTGGACAGCATGGCCAGCGGGCGATCATCTGACCTAGACTCCATGAACAAGGAGGCTGAGGCAGCAGGAGTGAAAGCTGCTGGAGTGAGGCCTGTATGTGGCCTGGGGCCCTCAGCAACCTGGGGGTTTTGTTGCCCGCTGTGCTCCTGTGTGGGGCTAGGGGGAAGAGTGTGACCCCTAGTGCCAGCTGGCATGTCAGAGACCTGGATCCTCCTCCCCTGTTGTCCTGGGGCTTTGCCACGTCTCCCTCTTACTGTGGTTGCATTGAGGTAGAATTTTGGTTTTTCCAATTTCAATGTAATCCGTTTGCATCTTTCTATTACTTTTTGGCCTTAGAACAAATTATTTCTACTTTGTCTTAGTGCTGTCTCTGTCTTTGGGTCTTTCCTATATTCTGTGTTTTTTCTCTCTGGAGAGCAGTTCAGATGGTGAAAGAGCTCAGTGAAATAAGTTTCTGTCTGACCTGAGTACATGCTCACCTTCCATTTGCCCTCAAAGAATTATCTGTTTGGATCTGGACAGATTTCTGAATTTTTCAGGGTTGTAGCAAGGTTTGATCAGACATCGCATGTGTTAGTATGTTGCTCTCCTGTTTTTCCTAGTGATTATAACCCTTCCAGCCACTGAAATCATAGGATGAGGACAGCCCTGAATTCTTCCTTCTCAAGGCCTACCTTCTTGTCTTATTGCTTCTTTCTCTGGTATTTGCTTCTACTTCTGGCCTTGTACATTGTTCTTCAGACTCCTTACCCCCATTTTCTCACCTGGGGTTTTACTGTGCGCCTAAGCCTGAATGAGTGGTCCCATTGACCTTCCTTCCTGCATGGCAGGCATAGTAATTTGAAGTTTTGAGCTCTGTGATTTTATTAAACTGGCCATTGCTCTAACAGGATCCCAGTGATAATCTCACCTTGAGGCATATTTTCATGTGTATATTATTTCTTCTTGTTGGAGAGGCTGACTTTTTCCTTTCGGTCTGAATCCAGCTTATGACCATTTTGATGATCTTTTAGCTGCTAGGTGATCCTTGGGCTTTCCAGGTGTGCCCTGGGAGTGGCGTGATGTTTCTTGGTGCTCTTTTCTGTTAGCCTCCTTGCCCTGCCCTTGATGAGACCCTGCATTTCAGTACGGATTTTGGAAAGGCTCACCAGCCTTGTGGTAGCCCACTAGAGAGGGTATGATCAAGGACTGTGGTAAAACTTGTGAGCAGTGAAAGCCAATGCATACGCCGAGGACCACTGGTATTGTGCTTCTGTAGACAGAGCAAGTTTTTTTTACTTCTGTTGCTGTTAGATACAAATGAATTAAGCAAATCCACCTGTGGAGGAAAGGAGTTGCTTAAGTGGTACTTACCGGTGATGCCCATTAGAGGGAGCCAGAGGCTTTGCAAGAAGAACACAGGGTTCCTGAGGAAGCTTTGAATAACCAAGTTCCTGTGGGGCTTAGCCACTGATTTACAGTCCCTTTCTTCCATCCTCCTCTAGGAATCTAGCCTCATATGGTCCTTCTAAATAGAAACTGATACATCTTGGGGTGCATGCTTTGCCATGTTCACTTGCGTATATTGTGGCTGTGCTACCTTCCTGGTCGTTGGTAATTAACTGTGGCCGAGGGACTATTATACATCTTGTGAACACAATGGATGGTATATATAAATCAGCTCCAGGCTTCCAGGCCCTGGGCCGAAGTTTTGATGTTAGAAGAAAGAGGATCAGGCTTTTCTTTCCTTCCAATGCCCCTGGTGATCACTTCCACCAAAGGCTTTCCTATTACTCTTTCTAGGCTCCTTTAGCTTTAGGAAACCTTCTAGGATGGGTCTTTTTGTTGTATTTTATTTTGTTTTTCCTCAGTTCTGTGTGTCCCAAGGTTGGATAACTGGTGTAGATTACAGGCCTGCTGCTTTTGCTATTCCCTTCCTTACAAAGTGGCCCTGGGACCAGGCTTGTTCCTGCACTTCTGGAGCAAAGAAGGGTGGGGAAAATAGGACTTAGTGGGAAATCTGATATAAATTGTTTTGTTTGGCTTCAACATATGAACCTGTGTCGAAGTTGTTGCCATTGGGCATCCATCTGGTTCCAGGGACTGTGGGAATGACTGTTTTTTCGAGTTTTAAAACCGAGCAGTGAAGCATATTTCAATAGAGAGATCACGGATGCCAAATGCTAACTCTGGCAGCTCCTAAAACATAAGAAACATCTTTCCTTGTAGCTTTCTCTGAGGTTCTCAGATAATTCAGCATTCACCTCTGCCCTGACGTTTCATATACGCCTGTCCCAGCAGCACAGCGAACTGACCTACAAGCCAGGGACTGAGCCTGCAAGCCAACTCTTGTTTCAGGTTCCCATTCCCTTCCCCATAAGAACATTGATCATCAAACTTTGGAATAGAAATGAGGTTGGAAGTAGTGCAGGCACAATGGCAAACCTCTCTTCAGCTTTCTTTCACCAAATATCAGTCTGTATATTCCTGAAAGTGACCAACTAATTAATGATCTAACTGATCCCCTCCTTGATGAGTGTCTTGCTCCATGGCTGGGGTTGCAAACTATGGCCACAAACCAGTTGCCTCTTTTTGTGATTAAAGTTTTATTGGAACACAGCCACACTCACTCATTTACATATTTTTTATGGCTACTTTTACAATGCAATGGCAGAGTTGGCAAAGTTGAAAATATTTACTCTATGGCTCTTTAAGAAAAAGTTCGCCAACCCCCTGCTCTAGGACAGATAACTGACAAATATTATTTTTTAAAAATGGGTTGAGATGAAGTAGGGTTTTCATATGCTAATGATACATAATAGTAATCATTGAAGGTGACCAAGGATAAGAGGACCAGTATGAGCTTTTGCTAATAAATGGGGATGGCATCAAAGTTTGGACAGAAAGTGATGTTTTTGTCCTTGATTACTTTCCTCATTACTTCCTTAATAACTTTAGTTTGTTAGGACTCTTTGACAAGTTGATTCTTTTGACTTGCTGTTTCTTCTTTTTAGAGTAGACTGAAAGTTGAGCCACAGGTTTTCCTATACTAGAGTTTTAAGTATCAGTATTATGAAGGACATTTTCTGAAAAGGCAGTTACTTATGTGTTTTCAGTGCTGTTATTTCTCACTGTGGTCAAGGTTGTGAAAGAGGTATTTATAATCTCTGCCATAAACATCAAAAAGCTAAGAACATACTAACTGCAGTGTGTGTGTGAGAGCAAGATTCTCCATCTGTTCAGATATTAAACAGATACTAAACCATGAGTTTGGTCTCTCAGGGGAGTTCTGTACATTATTCTATTTAATTTCCAAGAGCTAAGATAAGAGTAAACTAAAAAGCTACTTGAAAAAAGAGATGATGAAGTACTTATTTTTTCTCTTCTACAGAGAGAACGTCCACCGCCTCCAGCAAAGCCACCACCCGATGAAGAGGAGGAAGACCGTATAGATAAGAAGTATTTTCCCTTGACAACTTCTGAGGTAGAGGGTTAAGGGGTTGTTCTCATCATTGAAATATGATTTTTTGAGAAGCGCACGAGTATGTGCTTGAAGAAGACTTTGCTTTCTCATATCACCTCTTTGGAGTAGTAAATTTGTATTTTGTACATCAGTAATCTGGAGTAAGAATTTTTAAACTCACTCAAAAGTAGTAAGCAAAGAATTTTAATAGAGCTCTCTGACACACAGGCCAATTATTGACCTACCTTGCCACAAGGAAAGTAAAGCATACACATTTTCTCCTGGTTCTGATGGGCTAGCCAAACTCATGTTTTGCTTTTGCACCTGTGTTGTCTTTTGAGATAAAATGTACAGTGTCACCCAAATCACTGTTCACTGGAATGTGTCATATAAGCAAGCTTTGGTGGTCCTGCCCCAGACATCTTATTTTTGTTTTTGCATTTTCCCTCTTTATTTCACATGAAGAATCTGCCCCAGAACCAACATGAAAAATATGATAAAGACTGGATTAGAAGAGAAATAGGAATAGTGGGGGTGGGGAGGAATCAAAGAAAGTTATTTGAAAAGAATAGTCTACCTTTTTAAAAAAGAAATGTTATCATGAAGCAAGTCATTCCATTTCTCACTTAGGTTTATGAAGAGAATCATTTTTCTTGATCTTTCCTCTTCAAAATGCTCCTTTAATTCTTCCTACTATTCAGAGAATGTTTATTGAGTATTTATTTAAAATATTACATAATTTTAGTATTTTTTTTTTTGTAGCTCATTCAGTGCCTTATTGTTCTTTAATTTAAAAACTAGCTAATGTAAACTAGTCAATTAAGTCTCATTACTTTATCCCTAGAAGTAGGAGTTAATGTTTTTTTACAGTATTGCCATGGACTGTTCAGTGAAATGGGCTCTTTTATTTAATGTAAACACATAGAACCAGAAGTATTGCTTTAGTTTAACTAAATGTATAAAATGCAAGGGAGCCATTTTAAGAATGTAAGTTGGTGGTGGATATAGAAGACGATTTTTATGCTAGGTACAAATTCTGTCCTTATTTCTTTTTATCCCTTAATTAAAAAATGCTTATTATCATGTCTCAACTTAGGGGTCTCTATAATGACAGCCTCTAGGGTAATAAATAATACATTGCCAGCAGACACAAGTGTATGTAGTAAATACCCACATGTTTTTATAGAGATTTGCTTTATTACTTCCTTTTTACAAGAGATCCCTGGTAATATGGAGTATATTCATCTGGGGCTGGGTCTCTGTAAATGCCTTATGCCACCTCTTTAACAAAGACTTAGATTAAAATTCCTAATGCCCAAGGATAAGAGCAAGGCTCTTAAAGAAATATTAGATAACCAGGACTTTCTGTGCTCCTAAGGCTTTCTAGAACTTACAGTTTGGCAATAACAGTGTCAAGAGGTAGAGGAGAAATTGCCACATTACTCTCCTGGATGGGAGACTATCTGAGATACATCTTCTAGGACTTGCTTCTGAATAGCCTGGAATTCTGGGTTATTTGGACCACCAGAGTCAGTATTTGGAAGACCATGAGAACCCTGGCTTTGCCTGTTTAGTGATGATTATAAGTACGTGAATATAGAGGTGATATAGTCTGAGTCATTAGCCTTTTAATGATCAAGGCAGATTCTCTTTGCTGTCGTTTGGTTAGGTCTTCTCCAAAAGTAGACTTTTTTTTTTTTGACTCTAGTCTTCACCATCTTTATTTCTAATACTCTCAAAGCTTTACCAACCTAATACTCATCTCTTAGGAGGAACTGATTTCATCGAAATTTAGACATTTATATTTGGCAAACAATCTGCCCCAGTGTTCGTGTCCTGTTCCTAAGGCTTGTCATTGTCAGATGACCTATAGAAGCCTTTAAGGGAAGCTGAGTATACCTGGCTCCAGGCAAGCTTATCAGAGCAATGATCAGATCATGAAACTGGTTTAAAAACATTAATATATGCACACATGTGTGTGCACACATGCTATTTAGATATTTTGGCCTCACCAAATGGACTGCCAGCTGCATTAGTCTGACCACAGACTTCTCTATGCTCAGATGTGCTAAACATTCACGGGAAGTTGCAGCTGCTATGATATCTCTTCTCAGAAAGCTGCCCATACCCTGACTAGCCATTCCATTGTCACAGTTAGGTTGTTTTGCTCTGCAGCGAAAATGTTGCTTTCCATATAGCAGAGAATATGTTTTCGTTTTTGTTTTTGTTTTTTTTGTTTTGTTTTGGCTTTGATTTATTGCTAACCCTGGAAGAAAGGGGGAAAAAGATTAAGGAGTAATTTAGTAAAGAGCAGAATCCTTTCTTTTGAAAATCACTTATTGCCATATTCACTGTGACACAGGGCTTCTTGAGTGGGAGCTAAGAAGGCTCAAAGAAAAGCAGTTTATTGCCTTATTGTGAGATTTTAATCCCATAGCTATCAAGGGCCTAGACCAAGCAAAAAATATCACCCTACAAATTGGAGTTGTCTGGGTGTGAGTGGGGACTCTCATTAGACATCCGAAGGAGGAAAAAGGTCCAAATTGGATGAAGAAATCATATTTCCCTGACAAAAATGAGGCCAGCTTTGTTCAGAATTCGGGGAGGTGAATTTCATGGCCCTGGCTCTTCTGGGAGCTCTTTATGTAACCTTGGGCAAGTCTTGAGACCTCTCTGAGAACACGCTTTTGTCATCTGAAAAATGAAGGAGCTGGAACCAGGTGCTCTCTGGCTAGGAGTGGTTTAGGTCCCTTCCAGTATTGCTACATACTGGTTCTCTGCTTCTAGCCATTGTGCACAAGAGCTAGGCACGTAGTGAATGCAGGTCTGGTGGGCCTGATTTTCCGGATGGAAGTTCTTAGCCCTGTTCTACCTGGGAAGAAAGGATATTATAGGTCAGGCATCCAGGCTGTCAAATACCTCTCAGAGAGGTGTGCCTGGGGCTGTGTGAGAGCCCTCACTGTGTACAGGACACTCACAGAAACAGGTTGCCAGGGCTCTGCCTAAATGATAGCTATGGGTGTGTAAACATGTAGAACACAAATTCCTATCTGTAAAGCCTTTAGTATTAAGTTGACACTGAATGAACTGCTTAATGGTCCCTTTTTGTTCCGTTAATTGTGTTCCTATGAAGAGGCAAAAGGAATAAGTAATACAGACAAATGTCTCATTGTAATGAAATAGCTTTTAGCTTCCAGGTGGCTTTCAGTAAGTGGAGGTTCCTGCTGTGCTAGGCAGAATTTTGGATCGAGACTATCATTCTGCCTTTAGAGTGGCAGCCTTGTTAACAAACAGGAGCTGCAGTCTCTCATTTACTCTGAGACTGCGAGAATCCTTGTTGTTTCATTAGGCTGTAACATGGTGAGTTATGCCTCCAAGAAGTAAAACAGTGATGAATCACAAACTCTATTTGTTTGCGGTGAGCTGTGGGAAATGTCTGTGTGTGCCAGAGAATCACATTTGTAAGGTGTTATTGTTAGGTGGAACTGGGAACTCCCCTTCACCTCACCTTCATAAATATATTGCTTATCCTAACCACTCAAGAAGAGAGATTTTGTGCTTTGGTTTCCTCTCCTAATAGCTGGTATGTGATTATTCTTAATTTGCCTGTGAAACCTATTGGGCTTTTAGGACAGGTGAGCCAGAATTACCCTCTGAGACGGAGGTCTCCATTCTCTCTCTCAGTGCAGCTTTACTACTAATCCTGGTACTTCTAGTTTGATTCAAGCTTGGCTACTCTGGTACCATGATTACCTGTGGCCACCAGGCCCTCAGCTGACTAAAGCCAGTTGGCAGGTGTAGGAGCCAGCTCTGGTCCATTTACTTCCAGAGACACTGGCTGCCAGGATTTGGGATTTCTCAGCAGACAGAGCTGCTTTTTCTCCACTGAAGTACATACTGCCTACCCACTTGACTGTTTCAGAACAAAGATTGATAGAATTAATTTAAAATTATTATAAATGTGGTAGGAAGCTGGCTTTGGGGAAATTCTTCCTTATAAGCCCCAGGACCTGTGAAGAAAGGCTCACAAAAATAGAGGACTTACAGAGCACTTTGTTTCTAGTAAATGTCAATCATTCAGGGTCAGTCAGAAGTCATTTTGATTCCCACGGGAGGTGGGAAGGAAACCAGCCTTAGGGTAGTATGTGTGCCTATTAGAAAAGAAATGTCGAGAAAGAAGGTTTTTATGCTCCATTTGGGAGGTATCATCCACAGAAAAGAGATCATGCAGAATTCTGGAGATGGGAGAGGCAAGGGAATGGGGGGGATCTTAGATTTTATTTATGATTTTTTGAAAGATAAAATGAGGTAAGGAAAGGGGAATGTTTTAATCAAAGGCCATTGAGATTTGAAGTACAGGTGTATATCCAGAAAAGTAGTTGTGATTCCATGTGACACTCGAATTATTTACTTTTTCTTCCTCTCTTCCTATCAGATGAAAAAGGAACCAATAATCTTGAATTTGTTCAATATAACCTATTTGGTATTAGCCACCTGCATAAAAAGTACTGTGGTGTTTTCTGTCTTAGGTCTTGGCCATGAGACCCCGGGTTCAGGGCAGTACAACCAGGGAAGAGGATGAGCATCCTTATGAGCTGTTGTTAACAGCAGAAACAAAGAAGCTGGTATCAGTGGACGGAAAAACAAAAGGTACATGCCACTCGC